CAGCCCTATAAGGTAGGAGAGGATATTGGCCTGTTTCTGGTCAATTTCGAGCGGACTTGCGAGAACCTAGCGTTCGCTCGTAATACCTGGCCGCAGAGACTGCTAACCCTGTTGCCGTGTCAAGCAGCTGACGTCGTAGCGCGGCTCTCAAAGGAGGACGCTGAGTGCTACGACGTGGTGAAGTCGAATCTCCTTAAGAGATACCGTCTTTCCATGGAGGCGTTCCGGCTGCGCTTTCGACAGGCCAAAAAAGGGAAGGACGAATCATACCTCGAGTTTGCGTATGACCTAAAGGCCAATCTCATTGAATGGCTAAAGAGTGCTGAAGTATTCGACAATCTCGAGAGTGTGGTGGAGTGCTTCAGCTTGGAGCAGTTTTACCGCTCCATCCCTGAGCAGACGCGACTCTGGATCCTCGACCAGAGGGAAGTAAAAACAACCCAGAGGGCAGCAGAGCTGGCGGAGGAGTACGCGGTACGCAGAAACCTTCGCGAGGAGGACCGCTATGGTTCGGGTCGCCGGGACACAGAGCCAAAAGGCTATTCACGAAAAGGAAAATGCGGAGAACGAGAAAATCTCACAAAGAAGGCTGCGCCCGAAACCCAAGGTAACGAAAGGAGGAATCGTCCTAATGAGGAACATCAAGCGATCAGGGAGAGTTCGGGCACAAAGCCTGAACAAAAGAGGGCGTTCGAAGCCAAGAAGCCAATGGTGTGCTTCAAGTGTCAAAAACCGGGGCATATCGCGGCCGGATGTAGGTCTCCCAACGTCGTGTTTTCCTACATAAGTGAGAACGAGGAAAACCGGCGGCTGCTGGAGCCGTACTTGAGCGACCTGACGGTGAACGGGAAGGCGTGCAGGGTTCTCCGAGACTCGGCTGCCACAATGGACGTGATCCACCCAACCTACGTAGACCCCAACGGATATACAGGAGGTTGTGCGTGCATCAGGCAGGTGATCGAGGAGCACAGTGTGTGCCTACCGGTCGCCCGAGTTTGCATAGAGGGTCCGTTCGGTACGCTCCACACCGAGGTTGCGGTGTCCGGCAGCCTGCCGCTTCATTACCCCTACATCTTCTCAAACAAATCTGATCAGATGCTCCGAGAGAAGGGTCTTAGCTTTTCGGTGGGTTCTGTTCAAGCTCTAACTCGCTCTAAGGCACGGGACCTTGCTACAAAATTTCAGTACGAATCGGAGTGCTCGGATTCGGCTGAGACGGCGTGTAAAGAGGTTACCGACGAAAAAACTAAGGATCAGGCGGACAGTGCTCAAGCACCTGTAAGGGAGACTGATCCCGAGATCACGGAGGCTGAGCCAAGCGCGGCGAAAGATGCTCAGCATCTCGCAGGGGAGGGGAGCTGGAGCCAGAGGGAATCGCCTTGACACCGGCGTCATCTAGTTTTCAGAGGCTTTTGAGCGTCGAGCGATCAACTTTGATCGCAGAGCAGGAGGGGGATCATTCCCTCAAAAACTTGAATGAGTGTTGCCAGGAAGGCCTAGCTCGGAGGAACGTTACGTTCCACAAGCGATCGGGTGTCCTGTACCGAAAGTATCGAGACCGCAAAGGGGTACAATTTGATCAACTTGTCGTGCCAAGCAGCTACCGACGAGACCTTCTCCACCTGTCCCACGGCGGCTCGTGGTCTGGCCATTTGGGGATCAAAAAGGCGAAGGCACGAGTACGGGTTCTTTCGTTCCTCTGGTCACCTTGCGCCGTCCGGACTGCCAGGTCCGGATGGGGTGACGGGCTTCGTTGTGGGAAGCTGGGCGGGTCTTGCCGGAGACGAAGTTGCTTCCCTTGGCCGTCGACGACTAATTCAGTTGAATTTGGGGATTACTTTTCAATAAACAATTTAATACTTTGGTAGGGAATGAAAATACAAAGATAAACAACACTGCGAAACGATAACTTCCCCTGTACGGGGTTGGGAAGGAGGTGGTCGGGTGTTAGCTTATCCAAGTTCGGGAGTTGGCTGGCTCGTGGGATTACGTCCCGATTACGGGGACAGAAGTCCCTCGGAATCCCACGACCTGACTCGATTACGGAGCGACAGCTCTCGAGCCCCAGCACGAACTAAACTCACTCGCTGAGTTTCTAATCCAAGTTACTCGTTGGTCCGTCCCCTTTTAGTGGACCGGCGAATCCTCGATGCGTTGTGAGACAGGCGTTTCCCACCGCCAACCAATCGGCTCACTTTCTCGCCACGTGGGAATTGCTTGTATTCCCGGGTGGGAACCCGCGGTCTGCGTACATCTGACGGTCAAAGGTCGGGCTGGTTCGGATGCAAGCAAAACCATTTCTCGCAAGGCGAAGTGGACAACCGACCCCAGTGTGGATAGCGCCGACTAAGTGAGCCATCTCGCAATTCATTCTGCCAGAGGCGGTCTGACGTTGCCGTTCTGCCGCGACCCCCCACACTCGGGCGAGAAAGACTAAACCGATGTAAACGCGCCGTGTAAACAGCGCCGGCCAGAGCCACTGCGCTCTGGTGGCGGTGGTGGTGTAACTTTACTTTTTCCGGCCCGGAACGCACGCTCCGATTCTCTCGGCAGAAAACGCGCGCCCGAACCTCGCGTCGTAAAGTACGCCTGTCTCTCGAGGTCGCCCGCCAAGGGAAGTGTTTACAACAGCGCTTTTCCCCCAGCCAAATCTCCCTGGTGCTAACGGCCCACCCGCGGAGCTCTCGTCGATCCTTACAGCACGCTTGTTGCAGGAATATTACTGGTCTGCTACGTTGCCGGGACGAGATTTACCGTTGAGACAGATCATTGCCCTCTCACCTGGCTAAGGAACATGTCGCCCAAAAATGGTCGTCTGCTCCGCTGGAGCCTCGCGCTGCAGCAATATTCGTTTGACATTAAGTACAAGCGGGGTAAACTGCATACGAACGCTGACAGCTTGAGCCGCTGCTCCTAGGCTGATGGAATCGATGAAATGGATTTCCCCCCTTTTGCGGAAAGTCTATTTGTGCGTCCACAAAATTGTTAGGGAAACATTGATACTGGGTTTTAAGGAGTATTCCTAGTTTGTATGAGTCTTAACTGTGCATTTACGTTAGTTATTTTGGGGTTTCTTTTCACGGGAGTCCGAGTTTATTGCTTTTGTTCTCCACTGCACTCGTCGAAGGCATTAAAGGGATACGGAATCGAAACTTGAAATATAGAGAAAACATCAAGAAATGAGTTCAATATGATCAGCTAAGCCTGTAATGAATAATCGCACGGTCGTATTTTGAGCAGATGGCTATATTTTATGCTCTAAATGCCGCGATTTTGGCGAGCGCTTCAAAATCAGCCATGGAGGAGCGCGATGCATCTCGGGAGATCCGGCAGACGTCTTGACGTCATCATGCCTCGGACGACCAAGCGTACCGTAGTGACGAGTTTTGCCACTTGGAGGCGTCAACGCGTTACAATCTCGCTTTGTCGAAGTACCCAAGGGCTGTAGATATCGCGGGGCCAGCACGCGCACCAAACCTGAGAACAACCGAAGCACGCGTTTGCACGTCGCGCGAGAGCTGAAACCAAGGTGGCTCACTTCGTTTTGGCTCTTTCCACCAAGACGCCTCGGTATTGCGTTCAGGCCTAGGCAATCTATACCAGTGAGCGGACATACCGCTGCGGCGCTGCTTTCAGAGGCATGTTGTCGTCACGACATTCCACTGAAGCTTCATAACCAACTACCAGGTGGTTTTTGATTATCGTTCAATTCACTTTAAAATATGTTTTCTTGCGTTTTCTAGCGCAATATTTATGTTTCTGTGGTTGTGCTGCTACCTGCGTCATGTTGAAACAAAGAAATGAGCTCCAGAATTTGGTTTCCGTACCCCTTTAAGGGCGTTTTACCGACCGAGTGCAACAGCAACGCCTTGCGACGTACGGGTTGCTATGGCAACAGCTGCGTCGGCTCCAACAAAACCGGTCCAATACCCCGTTTTTTTGGAGCCAACGCAGATGTTGCCATAGTAAAGGCGCGTTCACACACTTGCAACCGAGTAGGACCGACGGAGACAAGACCGGTTTCGAAGCCTCTTGTGTCGGCCTAGCACCTCCTCCGCAGCAGCGCATCCGGTCCTACGCCGTCGCAAGAGGCTTAAAACAGGTCTTGACTCAATCGGTCCTACTCGGTTGCTAGTGTGTGAACGGACCTTAACCCGCACGTCGAAAGCCGTTGCAGCCGTGCTCGATCGGACTCTCGCAAGTGTGTGTACTAACCTTCAGAACGCGGAACGCAAGCGTCAAGGGTTAACGCGTTCGACGAGTGCAGCGGAGACAAAGGCAGCTTTAGGTCTACCCACTATACCTGTTTTCACCTCAAGAACCATAGGAAAAAAAGTCCGGCTTCTCGCGGATGATTACTAATTTTCACCTTTAGGTGGAGATTTAAGATATATTTATTAGCATTTTAGAGTGGATACACGTTATCTTATCTAGGAGTACACGTTTCAAACGCCAAAAGCATCACCTGTGCCTCCGACAACCAAATCTGGCGAGAACTATTTCGCGCGGCGTATGAACAATGCGCAAAACTTACTGTTTTCTTGGGGTGAAAACGGGTATAATCATTCGAACCGGAGCTCGGCGTTCTGACGTCCCTGCGCTCTCTCGTCTCCTTCTTTCCGTCAGTTACTCGTCGCATTGCCACCCAACGATTGAGCACGAGCTCTGCGTCGTGGCACTGCAGGGCACTTGGGCGTTAAAGCTCGAGATTGGGTCCACTAATTTCGGCCACGGTCGGTCTCAGAGATACGAGAAGAAAGGGACGGGGCCACCAGTCACACTGAACATTATGGCTTCCTTCTGCGCACCCCCACCTTCGCCTACTGAGCTGTGGAATGCAGGTGAGATTCGCTGCAGCGCTCTTCTGCCACAGAAGCCACGCATATATCTTCACAGTCCACTGATCTAAGCATTTTTCGTCTGTGTGCGCAAGCGCTGGGAAGGTGTATGGATTTCCCCGCTGCTTTTGTGACTAGCGTAGAAATTGAGTCTGACGATACCTGAGCCTGCTGTCGACGACCGCTGCCCCGTGCTCGCCCAGAGGGCAGGTGCAGCAGGGGTGCCACGTTGTGCAGGTGTGGTGGCGCGCCAGGCAGGCCAGGTATGGCTCGCTCCACATGGCACCCTCCGCTTTGCAGGCAGGGAAAGGAATGGTCCACAGCCGCGCGCCCAGTTTTTCGAATGCCTTGCTCCGGATGATCTGTACCGCCGCCTTGGCGCCTGCACACAGCCGAGGGATTAAACTACGCTTCAATGTCGAAATGTTTCTGACTGCTTGGGAGCACTCGCAAGTTATAACAACGCTGTCAAAATACGCACGCGTAAAGGCCCGTTCACACACTTGTGCTTTGCTTACGACTGAGTTCTTGTCATCTCTTACGACGATAGAGCACTCCGACACGCTGGCGCCATCATTAGGAGGGCAATAGAACTGCGTTTTACAAGAGCATAGGCTTTTACCAAGTTTAACAAGATTTGCGAGATCAAATGCATATACTAGAAATGAGAAATGGTCGTTTTTAACATTGTCAAAATATTTTCTAAGCCAACAAAAATAGTATGATGCGCGAAGACAAGAGGAAATATACGGAAATGCCAAGTGTTCCACGGCTACTCGAATAAATAATACCCTAGTTTTGGCAACATTTCTGATCGCGACAAAGTTACAAAAACAGCAATGGTCTCTTCAAATTCGTAGAGTTGTGTTGGGCTCCTGCTAATGAAACTCATGCGAACAGCCGAATGCGCGCCTGTAGCTGCGGATATGTAAGGTACATGGTGCCCAGTGGTGTTCAGGCTAGGGCGGCACACAAACCTCGCAAAAAAAAAACAAATAACCAAAATCAAAAAAAAAAAAAAAAGGATCAGACAGTGACCTTTTTTATTATTACAATGACAGTCGGTTTCATATCTTGACGTGACGGAGGCACGCTCTGTGGCATTTTACCATTTTCAGCTTGCACTCTACTTTGTTCCACCGCAACTTGACAAACGGCGAAAGCCGTTTGCGAAGTTGCTCTCTAATTAGCCTTTCGAGCCAAATAGAGCGACAGAGGCGAAGCACATGACAGCCGTTGTCAAAGTTACGGGGGCGAGAGCGAAAGCAATCCCGTTGAAAGAAGAAGGGTCGACGTGGCACTATACTCATTTAGGTGCCACGTGGACGACCTGCCGAGCTCGTAGGTGGCCGGGGACAAAACGCTTTCGACTCGGACGAGGATGTCGGTGCCACTCGCCTTGCACGGCGACCTGGATGTCGTCGGGATGCGTGAGATAGCGCGGGTCGATGACGGGTGCTTCGTCCGGGTCCGCGCTCCTCAGCCGGACGTGGCCCTTGGACTTGGGCCTGTTGATGATGGGTGCGAGCTGGAAGCCGTGCTCTCCTCGTCTGGGCTTGTAGTACGCGTCGTAGACCTCGAGAGACGAACGGAGCAGCACCTGTACCCATACGCTCCCCCAAAGCCGCAGTCCCGGGCATCTGCTACCCTACAAAATACACGGTGTCCACTGGAGACATGATATGGCAAATGTATCGGCGGACGCGCCTCACGGATGTTTTGAGGCGCGTTTGCTTTGTGCCAACCTTTCAAGACGTCTGCAGACAGTTTGTGCATGACCAATGCGTGACACGAGTGTCGTACAAGGCGCGCCTCACACGGTGCGTACAGACTGACTTTTGTATAACGCATTACCAGTGTGACTGTGGCTTAATGCCTTCTTTAAAAAAAAAAAAAAACACTAACTCACATTAATAATATTTTTTTTTTAAAGTGCTGTGGGTAGGACACGTACGTTTAAAGATTAAACTTTTCAAGTATAAACAAAACTATAGCGCTATATTTGCGATATTTACGTCGTGAAACTCAATTGATATATTCAAAAACATCTTGGAATCGCTCATATGAGTCTCGCTACGTCTATAGCAAATTGTGTCTCGCGGCGTAAATATGAATTAATTGGGCTGAAAACTTTTTTCTTTCTTCTTATTTTTGTTCGGCGTAAGTTAAATATTGTGACACATTTGTCTAATCAGAGTGCACAGAAACAAAAACTCACAACGTAGCATCGGTTGCGGTTACGCCGAGTGATGTGAGAATGGCTAATATCCTTCGAGGGTACTCAGCCTCTCTCGCGCCGTGTTCGAAACGCAGAGTTAGTGGCGTGCTTATTTTATGATCGTATTTGTTTTTATTAAATAGGGCCCACAGGCACCAGGGACACTGACAGGGTATTTCTGCTCACTAAGGTTCGTATTTGTACATGACATATGAGAGCCCAACTACCCAGAACCCAATTCGCGGCTCAAAATTCGTTTTCTTTCCGCCCGAAAACCGCCGATCAAGAACTGACCGGTTTGAGTCGCGCTCACTCTCTTCTCCGTGGTCACGTGCCGTTTTCTATAGTTTAGACACACACACACTCCAAATATAATCAAAGTCGTCGGTCATCGAAGGCACACACTCAATACTAGAAATGAACAAAAATAATGATACCCATTTTTAGTGGCTTATAAAAGCTGCAAATACGTTGATTGAAAATAAAAAAGAACAAGATTGCACAGAGAACCGCAAGCATTTTGCATTCTCTGCGTAATTCTCAACATGGCGTCTTCTCGAAGGCAGTTGCGGGCTGGATGGCTGAACGAAGCGGACGATGGGGCAGGCGACAAGCTTTGTGGAACCTCTACTTCAGAACTGCTCTTCGCGGTACCGGCGAATCTGCCTAGCTTCGAAAGAGAAATCGTTTGCCGATCAAAGCAATCAGGATTTTTTTCCGTACGACACGCCCGACCGCCAAGCTGATTCGTACAAAGACGTCGCCGAGTCGTCGCCCCTTCTCCTCGCTAAAGACATCGCTCGCGCAGATGTTTTTTGCGTTTGCGTTTTTTTGTGCGACGTGCGAGTTTTTCGTTTGCATCGCCCGGCGGGAAAAACGAAGGAAAAAAAAAAAAAAAAAAAGCAGAAAAGAAAAAAAGAAAACGCGGTCGGGTGTAGCCACGTGACTTCCGGCAACTCTCTTCTCCTCTACATTTCTTCTTCCTCCCCAGTCCAGTTTCAGTTTAGTTCTTGAGCAGTTGCGTTTTTTTTTTTCACTTTATTAAAAACATGCGTGACGCTGTAGCAAATTAATAATTGGGTAGTCTTCTGACACCAATTAAATCGCCTGGCAAAAAATATATATATATTTTGGGGTCGTCAGTGTCCCGTTGATGACTTTCAAACTTGAGCGGTTCAACGCTTATCAAAGAGAGAAAGAAAAAAAGAGAAAGTGATAGAGAGAGAGAGAGAGAGACTATTGTTATAAAAGAAAATGTGAGTGTATGTTACTAGCGAACGTAGTGAGATGATTTTTACGCCGTTCGATCCAAGTCTTCCTCCAGCCTTTTGCTCTGGTGGAGTCTGCAGAATATATGGTCTCCATAGAGTGACGCGCAAGAGATGTAAAATTGGTTTCAGGCTTTGCATGTTACAGGCTCTTAGGCTACAGGCTACATGCTCTCAGACTAGAGGCTACAGGAAACAGCCTCTCGGGCTACATGCTCTCAGGCTCTGCAGGCTTTGCAAGCTACAGGCTCGAGTGTGTTGCTTTCCTATGTAATCACTTAGGACGAGATGACACCCTGGACACTGGCGCTATCCCCCAGGGAGCTGAGATCAGCCTATAACGTGACTAAAGGCTTTGCAACATTTCCGATATCAAATCTACGCATTATCTACATGACACAGTCGCTTACAATATTGTCAAAATTATTTTAAGCCCACTTTGCAAGAGATTCACCCAAAACTTATGTAATACACGCAAGACTCGAGTGTTGCGAACACAATAACAAAAATCACGTTAAAAAAGTAATTAAGATTTATACGTCTGAAATCAATGCAGCTAGAAAATAGTGACTCTTTATCACCATACATAGTTTTAAACATGGCTGATTGAGTCATCAATCCGACCGATCACCGATAACAATGCAAAAGAAAGAATTACAGCAAATATAAAATGCAGATTAATTAACAACTTTTTTATTGATGTAACCCCGGCCATACTAAACCCAAATCAAATTGATCTTCTTTTAATAAGCTAAAAATATCTTTTTTTCGCGATAAGACGTTATTTTTCTAGTTTTAGGCTCTTTCCCGTACTGATTTCCTTGCAATGTGACGTTGTGATGACTGACGAGCAAAGTGGAAGTACTAGTTCTAGTTCGCTGTAGTAGAAATAAAAACCTCAACGCTCCGATTTTCTCAGAAGAGCGTTGCTTTTTGCTCGTGTTTAGCCTGATATAAAGTTTTCACCCTTGGTGATTTATTTTTTATTTCAGTACAAAACAAATACACATAGAAAGAGTGATATGATAGGCAAACGCTAAATATAAACTATTTTTTTATTGTTATTTTTGCGAGAACGGTTTGATTTAAGCCACTTGGCAAAGATGGTCTGATTTAAATTATGGTTTAAATAATGATTTACATCCGAATTTAAATCATCTGGATTTTTATTATCCATCCTGGTTCCAAGGTCACCTCTAGATGGCGCCAGTGTGCCAGTGTGTTCTCTCGTCGGAAGAGGTCACACGAACTTGGTCGTAAGCAAACTCAAGCGTGTGAACACAGCGCACTCAAGCTTACTCAAACGTAAACGTGTCAACCAGCCTTACTGACCCAGAGAAAGAGGAACAAAAGTGGTTCTCCGGTCGCTTCCCTCGGGGTCCAGACGCGTGACCCGCTCACCTCTCGAGTGAGCCCGGTGTCGATGAGGTAGCGCTCTCCTTCGTCGCTGCTCGGCGACACGGACATGAGCACGATCTCCACGTCGGGGTAGTCCAGGCTGGCGTTCACGAAGGGCGTGTTCACGAAGGCCAGCACTTCGATGCCGGCCGGGACGGCCAGGGGGCCTGTGGCAACCGTTGCTTTTAGCCCGAAGGCAATGGGTTTCCCCCTGCGTTCAACCGAAAGCTCAGAGGAACGAGGGGACAGTTGGGAGGGGGGACGTACAAATATATGTCTATACGCATCTTGCATAAATGAAGCAAAGCAAGGAAAAAACAAGGATGGGTAGAGATAACACAAAGAGGACGTGTGCTGTGAGAGGTTCTTTGCATGCAGTGGATTTACTATATAAAATAGACCTGTCCCGTGAGAGGTCCTATGTAGGTAGGTTAATACGACATTTCGAATGGGGACAACTCTTCAGCTGAAAATGTTACGTCTAAGGAATTTTATACCCCTCGAGGCAAAAAAAATATGTGAATGAGTCAACCAGCATACAAACAAAACGAAACACAAGTGAACAAACAAGTGCATTTCATGCAGGTTGGAGTTCTGCTAAACAAATGAAAACGAAGACATGAAAAGAAACATAAACACACATTAGCGTCCAGTACGTGCACTCTGACTCCAGTGACTCACTCACTCACATTGGTAGAGGCTCGAACATTAACCTCCTCTATACTGCATATACACAACAGCAATACTAAAAAACAAAAACAAAAAAGGAGATTTAAGCATGAATCATTTAGGCGAGACGAATCGGGGGGGGGGGGGGGGGGGGGGGGGGGGGGTTTGACGGTTCACAAAACGTTTTTTCTCCCTTCACTAAGTGTAGCTCTCTCACCTCTTTTCACTTAACTTCAAGACGCTTGCGTTTCACATTTGGTTACATTAAGTCTAAGTTTAGTTTCACACGCATACATTATACTCAGGGTGAAAAAGAAATAATTATTTCTTTTAGAAGAATAAATAAATCAGATTTTTTAATTCAAATTAAACTTACATAATTTAAATAGTTACTTTTTATCACCAGATCTGCGTGTTTTTTAATATGTCTGATATCAGTCTTTCCTGCTTGATCACTCTTTGCTTCAAATATAAAATAAATGCCCCCTGAGAAGCAAGCACTGATGGAAAAACGGTAAATAAAAAATATTTTCAGTGTTATTTCTGGGAAAAGTGTTCAATTTAAACCTTAATTTAAATCATAATCTAAATCACGATTTAAATCATCTTCATTTTTATTCTTTACCCTGAAGCTACTGCGCCCTGAAAGCCCCGAGTACCCTCTGACCAGGGATGGGCAAAATACATGCAAATATGTATCGAAATACACATAAAAAATACTTCGTCAAAAATGTATTTAATTACAAATTTAATTACATTTCCAAAAAAAAAAAACATTTAACTACAAGATACAAATACAACCAAATGTATTTAGTCTCCTCCAAATACTTTTCCAAATACATTCCTCAAAATTTGCGTCAGCAAGTTCAGGGCACCTGCAACGGGTTTCTGGGTATCTCATTTTCATTTTGCATCGCACACTCCGGAGTTAGTGTGAAAGGCTCTAGTAACGTAATAAAAATATAATCACAAAAAAATGTAATCAGCTTGGACGTAATAGGTGAAAAAAGTACAGAGCTTCAAGCAGCTTTTTCTGTCGATTACATTTTGGTATAGACCAACAAAGAACCGAGACGATCAGGACGCGCAGCACTAGCTAGAGATTTTTTTATTGTTGCAACCCGCACCAGTTACGAAAATCTGGACGACCCGCGCATTTAGAATGTTCCAGGCAAAAATATGGATGAAAATCAGGCTGGAAAGCATCACAAGTTGTCACAGGCGCTTATTTAGCCAGTCTGCCTGTGAACGTTGATTTCGCCACTATTCTTGCCCTGGACTAGCACCGTAATCACAAAGTCACTAAACGCTTGCGCTTGATTGAGAGACACTGCATTTGGTGCAGAACGTAGCTTTCTTCCTGCTCTGGACAGTGACAATAAATTTGAGGGATGTATTTTCACCCACAAAATGGTATTTAATTACAATTGTATTTGAAATACCCACGTTCTAGTATTTAAATACGCACGTCAAATACATTACACAATTTGTAATTAAATACAAATGCAAAATACACAAAGTAATTGAAATACGTATTTTAAATACTTGTATTTGAAATACTGCCCATCCCTGCCTCCGACAAACAAGCTTCTAGATCTCTCGATGGCGCCCCGTCTCTCGTCTGGACTCTCAGAAGGTCCAGCGTGCATACTGGCCTGTGATGCGCAGCAGGAACACCAATCGCTGATCTGCCTGCCATCAGTTTAATCTAATAAGATGGGTCGACAGCGTCGTGTCCTTATGGTAATTAATAAAGTGACAAAAACGGCGTCCACCTCCCTTTTGATATCCGAAATCGGACGGTCATTAGAGCCGGACACCGATCACACTTCTCATAAGTTGAATATAAAAACGCCGTGCATGCCCTGGCACATGCTCGAAGGACTCAGCACTGCCACCCCTCGGACTCTACCTCTTTTCTGTTAAGGTGTGAGCAAAAAGGAGAGTTAATTTATGCGCGTCGTATCGCGACCGGTACCTCTCCTCCCGAAGACGTAGTCTGTGATGATGGCCATGTTAGCCAGCTGCAGCTCGGCGCCCTTCTTCATGGTCGCTGCCACGCCGCCCGTGAACATGTGGTCCTGAAGGTTCTGTCCCACCGGAAGGTCTGCGACAAGCGAGATCTGCGAGGAGAGCTTCTTCGTTATTCTCCTTCAAAATAATATCGCGCTTTTAGGATTTAGCATGCTATGTTCTTGTATCATAAATGCACGTTCGAACACGCCATACTTTTTTTCTGTAACATGTTTGTGCAAACTTGGGCGCTAAGTTTTCACTTCGATGATGGCTCGTAGCTCAAAGGCATGATCAGCACATATGTGTATAGTTGACGTATCTTTAAAAATATTGGTGAGTTCAAAATCGTAAACGGGTTAGGGCACGAAAATTTAACGGGAGATTATTCTTTAAATAGAATGCTCATGAACACCAAGTTTCGAGATTTTTAGACCTTTAGTAATTGTAATAATCAATTAACGAATGTTCATCATTTTTATCTCGCGACCAGGCAAAAACATTGCCCAAGTTAGTCATAGAGATCAATGACAGTGGACGTGTTTTTCTGGAGCTCCGGTAAAATTAAGTATCTTTTATTTATTTATTATTTTTTTTTTACAGCGACGCTGTTAAGGGCTAGTTTCCTCAGTATCATGTTGGTGGACAAACAGATCTTGACACAAAACTCTGGACAGTTACCGCCATCTATTAGCGACGGCGGCAACCTTTCCAGCCTTTTCACTCTGGCTTGCCGACTTGCGGCCGGCCATTACTTCATTCCCACCATAGCACAGCTTCGCTGATCTTCCGCCTTCACCAGAGTGAAAAGGCTGATTTTTTTGTCTTTGTTTAAGTGTGCATAAGGTAGAAAATGAGATAGTGCTAAGTAGTGATATTGTGTAAGGATAGCTTTTGAATTTAAATTGGATTGTTTAGTTTAGCGCTTAGCGTTAGGGAAGATGATTTACTGGGGTGACGTCACAAGCTTTGTTTAAACGTATAACGCGATGGTAGGACCGTATTTTTTTTTTTTTTTTTGCAGAAGTTTGTGACAACGTGAATAGATAAGATTTGCTTTGCGCTTAACGTTTCCTGAAAATAGTTTGTGACAACAAAAACCGGTTAGTTTTTATATTTTATTTTTGTGGCGTTATTTCGTGACAGCCTTCGAGAGGCGGTCCATGTGGTGCTACAGGTGGGGCTTGCCACGCAGGACAGTGTGGTAAGTTATTTTGAGTGATGGAAGAAAAAAAAATTAGAGGACGACTGAACACTTAACACTTATGTAGACAGGTGCAGACAGAATGAATGATTGCGAGACGAACGCGAAAAAATAAAGAGGTCGAAAAGGAAGGCGAAGGGGAGGTGCATTGCGACGCGTGTTGGAGGTGGTGCTATTTAGATGAAACCTTGTTTCCGATTGTGTATACGGCACAGAAGGCAGAGTTCACCTGCAGGATTTGTCTAAGACAGGCAGAGCTCCCCTCCACCAGCTCTCTACACTGGAACTGGTGGGGGAACTGCAGAAAGAAAGAGAGTGTAGGGCGGCGCTGGAGGCCGAGGTTGGGGAGCTGAGGGAGAGCCTAATGGCAAAAAGCGAGAGCGCAGCTAACCAGTTGGAAGGACGGATTGAGGGGATAGATACAAGGGTAAAGTTAGAAAGACAGACGCGGAAGGCAGTGTAGACGGAGCTGGGAGGGCTAAAACGCAGAGACAGTCGGATGGTGGGCGCGCCAAAGGTGGGAGAGCCGAGTGCTGACGGGAGGCGCCTTCCCCAGCAAGGAGATGTAGGAGATAGCAAGGACAAGGCCCGAAATGAATGCCGACAACGCCGACATTCAGCCAGATAGCCGGAACAAGTGGGGCCACGGGAGGACAGACAAACACAGCATCAGAAAACAAGAGGAGGAATGTGACAGGACAAGGGCAAAGGGAGGCAAAGCGCAGGATGGTGTTAACGGTCGGAAGTTAGAATGTGTCAGGATACAAAGTGGCGGTCCTAAAGACGGTAAGGTATGATGAGATGGTGCAGGCAGAGGACAGGCCAGGCAGGAGTTTTAGATGAGGTAATGGATAGAGCCAAGGACAGGATCTAGGACAACATGAAGGGAAAGATTCTAGTTGTCGTAGACGCAGGGGTAAATGATGTCCGTTGTGCACCATCCCAAAGGTCCAGTGAAGGAGGTCGGAGTAGCCAAGCAGATTATTTTAGCGAATGGAGTTATACGGGTGATAAGGTAGGCCCTAAGGTACGACGTGATGGATGTCAACCAGGAGATCTATGGGACTGGAGCATACCACCTTTTCTCCTGGGATGGCATCCATTACAGCGTACCTTCGGGTAGGGTACAAGATGGGACGTACAGCTAGGTTTTTTTTACGGGCAAAGAAGGGCCCGAGGAGAGTTCCTGTCTGACAAGGGAAGAGGCCACAAGGAAGGACAGGACTATGACTCGCAGGAGAAAAAGAAAAATACAACAGAATGTAGGGTTTATAAATATGCGAGGTGGTAGGATTAGGGTGAAGTAGACGGAAATTAAGGATCAACTCCAAAATGAAAATTTTACAGCATACGGGGTCGCGGAGACACATCTTAGAGACATAGAAGAACAACCTTTCATGCCAGAGTGCACGTGGATGGGATGCAACGGGAAAGGAAAGGAACGAAAATGGGGAGGTCTAGGGGAATTGGTGAAAGGAAAAGATTGAAAGAGAGTCAAGGAAGATTCTTGGGACATTTGTGGGTGCAAGGTAGTATTGGGGGTGTGCCAACGCTCTTGGGATTTGTATAATTGTGGGCCGAAATGATACGAGAGAGGAAAACGCAGAGCACATAGGATGCATAAAACTTCATATCAAGGAAATCGGAAAGGACACTGAAATAATAATCATAGGAGATATGAATGCTTACTTTGAGGAATTTGATGGTTTCACAGACGCGTCAGGAAGAACGTTACAGGAGTTATGCGAGGCCTTAGATATAGTACTGGTAATTATGCGCCCCAAATGTGAGGGAAAAGTAGCACGGAAGAGGAACATCTCTCAATCGACTGTAGGCTCAAGTATGACGTCCCGCAAACTGTACAACAGATTGAGTCGCATGTAGATAGACGAAGGAATGAAAAGCTTAAGAAGTGGCCATAAACGAATTAAGGTTAATTTTGGCAGGACACAGTAAGAACCAGAATCACAGAAGCAAGGAGACAAGATAGGTTTTAGTGACACAGCTAAACGAAATATCAAAACGATTGGAGGACAAGGTAGCCAGACAAGCAGGGAAAGAGTGGTCGTACGATGAATTACTAGAAATATTCAAAAGGGAGTTAGAACGAAACCAAGCCAGATATAAAAGACAAATGCAAACACAGGCCAAAAGCTGGTGAAATAAGGAAGCCAAAGCAGCCATAAATTAGAAACAAGAAGCATCCAGAAAGCATAGACGAGCAAAAAAAAAAGGGGGGGGGGGTGTTTCTGCAGAAGAAATAGAGAACAAATGGAAGGACTTCTCGGAAAGGACATCAGCGTCATGTGCTTTCATCCAGCACTAGATCGGAAAATACGGAATGAAATTAACAAGAAAAATTAACCGAAATGATAGGAATGCAACCAAGAAGTTTTGGGGGCGCATTAGTTCGCAGGGTAGAAGACAGAGATGCGTCACCACTCATTAACTACTGGTGATGGGACACTAGCAGAAGGGGAGGAGGCGTGCAGCGTGCTAATATATTAGGAGCATCGACGAGGAAATGTTTTCAGACCTAAAGCATCCAGAAACCACGAAAATAATAGATTGTAGTGATAGCCAACCACACTTTAGCGAAGTACCACAGATAACACCAAGGGAATGGAAAAGAGTCGAAAGCAGAGTGTCAGCAGAAACATCAACTGTACCAGATATGGCACACCAATGAGACTAGTGAAAATACTTGGAAATACAACTAAGTTTATGCTGCAGCGAAAAAGTGGAAAGAAAATATTGTTTGGGGGAGGTACCCAAGACTCGGCGACAACGCAGGATGAGGCTGCTATGCAAGGGTATAAAGGCGACAGGGACAACATCAAAACCTACCGCCCCATAACGGTAACATCTGTGCTATACAGACTGGCAATGCGGATGGTGAAGTATAAAGTAGAAAAATGGGCAGAAACAGAAAACATGTTAGGAGAACTCCAGAATATGGTTTTCGCAAGGATAGGCGACTAGAAAATAATTTGTATGCGGTCACACAATGTATAGAAATAGCCGAGACAATCCAACCACCGTTATGGATGGCATTTTTAGACATGCAGGGAGCATACAAATAACGGTAATCAGAAATTTCTGTAGATAAAGCTAAAGGAATCAGATTTAAATGTAAAATTGGTACGGTTTTTGAAGGAAGTGTACGTGGACAAAGGACTAACTATAACGTTGGAGGCTCAAACCACAGATACATCAGCAAAAGGCTTGGACTTAGACAGGGATGCCCCTCGCCTCTACTTTTCATTATGTACTTAAGAAAAAGGTAGAAAAGACTGGAGATAAGAGCATTGGGCTTCAATATATTGTACATAGAGGGAGAGAAAATTAAAGACGTTTACAATTATGTTTAATGCGAAATTAGAGCTTAAAAATCGACGCCTGCACGTAGTGATCTAAACTTTTCATCAAAGGTGTATTTCACAGGTCGGTTTTTTCTTGTAAAATTACAAAAAGGTAGCCCCCTTTTTGTAAAAAAAAAAAAAATAGGACCAAGAAACCTGCTAGGGTCAACGGCAGGCGGCGACGCAGACGACCAAGTCGAGTTGCGGGGCGCGTTTGGCGCTCAAATTGATAGATGCCGTCGGGAGCAGCATCGGAATGTGTAGACGTCCAGCGAAAGAAAGCAGACAACATGCGTCGTTATGCAACCGCGTTTTTTTTTAAACTTTAGGTTTTGTTTTTATTGACCGCATTTATTTTTCAACCAAAGGTACATAACAAAAGATTTTTCATTTTAATGAACCCCGGTCGTCGCGAGCAGTCTCAGGAGGTAGCGCAATCTACCAATACGAGCGCCAAACGACCTCCGCAACTCGACTTGGACGTCTGCGTCGCCACCCGCCGTTGATCCTGGCAAGTTTCTTAGTCCTATTTTTTACAGAAAGAAAGCTGCGTTTTGTAATTTTACATCAAAACACCGACCTGTGAAATACACCTTTGATGAAAAGTTTAGATTGTTACGTGCAGGCACCGATTTTTAAGGTCCATTTGAGATCTAGCCAGGTGACTTGGGACACCTTATATATGGTGGAAAAGTACAAATATCTGAGAGTGTGGATCAAAGAAGGGAAGAGATACCTTTGAGGATTATGAGAGACATATAATTAGTAAGCGTAAAAAGGTATTGGGCCATTATGAAGTATAGGGCGTTAGGGAACTTTAATACATACGAAGTAATGCGCGAAGTATGGAAAGGAGTATAATGGCACCAGGATTGACCTTTGGTAATGCAGTCTTGTGTATAAGTTCTGAAGTTCAGACGAAATTGGAGATATGACAAAGGAGCGTTGGCAGGGTAGCTCTAGGAGCACATGGGAACATCCCAAACGAGGGAGTTCAGGGTGATATATGGGCTCACCATCGTTTGAGAGCGGAGGTACAGCGAGCGAAAATAAATTTTCACCAAAGGCTAACAGATATGGATGACATAACATCTATAAATACCTCTATATGAGGAGTCATTAACGCGAGATGGACGAAACGTACGCAAACGCTTAGGATGAAATTCCTGCAGCCGGGAAATGGCGTGGAGTAAACGCGTTCAGTGGAAAAGGCAGTTAAGAAGGCAGAGAGATGAATGTGGGAGAAACAAATGCAGGAAAAATCATCTTTAACGATTTATAGGTCACAAAAGTAAGAAATAAGAAAAGGAAGGTTTGTTCAGTAATTCAAGACGGAGCGCTCGGCTGTTTGAGGAGAACAGAAACGTATAGGGCAAAATTTGAAGACACAATGTGAGCGCCATGTAAGGAGGAGACGGAAACTATTGAGCATGGGATTCTAAAATGTAAAGAGCTTAATCCTGCTCTTCCCGAAGGGGCGACAAACGTACCGGTGGCCATCCGTTCCGCTGGAGAAGATGGAAGGGTGGATTATGAAAGGGTAGAGGCAACAAAGTGGAGATTCGAGTGCTGGTGGAAATTGTCTCGGGAAAATTGAACTGCGTGCCACTCACTAGCACAGCTGGGGGTCAGGCGGGACAGAGAAAGATTGGAACTTGCTCCCGCGTGGCTCCGGCCCAGTCTGGGTCGGGTGTTAGCTGTCGCCGACAAGGTTCCACCAGAGGAAACTTGGCGTCGCCGAGGGGAGGAAGGTGATGTTTTTAGTTTTTTGCCCGGTCCCCCAAAGATCTGTCTGGCGATCATTTTATGACCTGGTGATAGTTACTGAAACACATTGGCTTGAAATGAAAAAGGGGAAATCAGGTTTTAGAGCGCAGCTCTTAGGCGCCCGTTTCTGGCTTGAGCGGCGTCGCCGTCGCCGTCGCCGTCAGCGTAACCGCGCGGAGCATTATGGGAAATGTCCCATAATGCAGCAAAGTGGAAATTTTTTAATTATTTAGTCCTATAATGCACCGCGCGGGAAGGAGGGGGAGGGAGAAGAGGTCGAGGGGGAGGGGAGGATGAGGGAGAGAAGGAGGGGAGGGGGAGGAGGACGAGGGAGAGGGGAGGAGAAGAAAGAGGGGGAGGTGGAAGGAAGTGGGGAGGGTAAGAGAGGAAGGAGGAGGGGGAGGAGAGGAGGGGAAAACTTGAAGGAGGAGGGGGAGGAGGTGAAGGAGAAGGGAAGGAGGAAGAGGAGGAGGAAGAGGAGAGTGGAGGGGAGGAGGAGTAGCAGGGAGGATGAGGGAGGAGGGGTATACCCTCCCCTCAGTATCCTTCCCTTCTCCTCTTAAGAGCTGCGCTCCAGTTCGGGGTTACAGGGTGTTGTAAACGTCTTTCACTCTTTTGTCATTGTTTTTAGGCTAGGTGGCGCAAGGTACCGCCCGTTACAAAGGTACAGCCGTTATCATCCATCCATGCATGGTGCCCATAAGCCACGTGATCATGAACGCTCTCATTCTTGGCTTCCCCATGCTCACCTCGCCATGGTACGATCAAAACCTCTCACGCAACTCGGTTACTCCTACGCTACTCTTGCTCTCGCCCCCGGCCCCTTGACCATCTACCCTGCATGCACTGGCGAGATGGTCGCGGACGATGGCGACCACGGCCAGTTCGTCCGTGACGATCTCGTCGTCGCTGGAGGTGGTCGCCAACGGATCGCAGTAAAAATGACCAGGTTCCAACATCTCTTCATAACAATCACTCTCATCGCGGCTGTGGTCAGTGTCGAAGATTCAGACGAAGCGAGCGATGCCGCATACTTCGCTCATCCTTAAATAGATGCTGAACCAACATTTCAGTATCCACAATGAGTGGCGCACGATCTTTCCTCGAACCAGCAGCCGCCGGTGTGCGCGAGCACACGCACCGAAATGGACGTCATAGTCCTCCAGTCACATTTAAGACGGCAGTAAAATGTGTGATTCAAGGAAAGGAGTAATAAAAACAAGCTTTTCATTTCCAAAACTGGGTTTGTTGTAAAAGGTAGGCGAATAATTGGTCTAACAAGCACGTAACTTTCACTTCTGGAGATAAAAAGCCTGTCTTTATTCTATTTTTACCATGAGCCACATTTCACTGTCATCTTATAAGCGTGGACGGAGGATATGACGCCGATTTCGTGTGTATGCTAGCGCAAACCGGCGGATACTGGCTCGTGGAAAGAGCGTGCGCCACCTTTATGTACACCAAAAGTTTTGGTTTCGTATCCCTTTAAGGTGAGACTGCAGCGAATGCCACAAGCACGAGAGCACGAGGTCGCTGCTTTGAATAGTCCTTTCACAAAACGAGAGCTCGCGCTAGAAATGCACGTCTCAAATCTATAGATGATTGCAAGCTGGGCGACTGGCCGCCGCCATGTCTCTGCTCGAGCAGGCACGCCCGTGCGATTACGAGCTTGCCAAAGCTACGTTCACCCGCGCGTTGCACGCGCTTGCACGCATGGGGCACCACTTGTGGCGCCATGCTTGCAATTGTCTATAGGAGCACGGGTTAGCTGGCGCTTGTAGCTTTGGCTGCAGTCTCAGCTTGAGGGTGAACGAAGCATAAAAGTAATCGAACCGCATGCTCGAAACGCGAAAGGTAAACGGGAAGCTGAAGCACGAGACGCCGAGAGAGCCAAGGCTGAGAGTGCGCGCAAGGGCACGCCGCGCGTTAGGTGAATGACGTCACCGACACAACAAACATGGCGACCTCCCCGACTAAGGTGGATCCGAGAGTGTAGCATATAAATCCATTTATCTACGAAATCATCGCGCCATTTTCAAGACAGAACTATCAGAAATATAGGAACATACAATTGGCCCTAGCAGTGTAGTTATCTTATATTTTATTTTTGGCGTGTCCTAATTAAGCGATTCAGCAAATTCGTCAAAGCATTTTCAGCCAGCGTACGCAATACACTATAGGACCCATGCAGAAAATCTCTTGTTTTGTTGCTTGCAGATGGCTTGAATTTTCTGTGGGTGATTTTGATTGCATAAATATGAAATAGTGTTCGACCGCAACGCAGCCAACACGTACATTCAGTTGCTCGAGGTGGTCTGCCGGGCCGACGCCGGACAAAAGCAGCAGCTGAGCCGAGCCGATGGTGCCCGCCGAGAGGATAACCTCTCGCTTGGCCCGCACCGTCCGCTCTTCGGCTCCTCTCTTGAAGAGAACCCCGTAGGCGTGCTTGTCCTTGAAGAGCACCTGTACACACAGAAACGTCAAACCTGCACAGCGTCGAAGTGCCTCAATACTGTGCGACGTTAGCTTCAAAGTACATTTTGCGGAAGAACATGGCGTCGGAAAGCTAAATGGCGAATCGCTAGTGCTTGCCATTGATATCTGGCCACCAAACTGCGATTATTAAAAAGGTAATTTGCAAATTATAGTGAATTAAATTATTAATTAGTACGGTTTTTCAATCCCCGACGAGAACCGGCGTATTCAGCATGGTATGGCCGATGGTTGCAATCCTTGACACTGGCCATGGCTCGAAGTTTGTTCCCGGAAAAACGTTTCTTTTCTTCACAACCTTCGCAGTGTTGGTATTTTTTTGAAGTCTTCACCGGAACCCCTGGTATATGAGGGAGACGGCGAAATTAAAATCGACTCACCTTCGTCACCTTGGTCAGCAGAGAGATGTGCAGGTTTTTTCGGTGCGACAGGATTGGTCGGATGAAAGTCTTGCTCGCGCTGTACCGCACTCCGTCCTTCACGTTGCCCTGCACCCGCGAAAAACCTGCACCAAGAGGCAGCCACGATGAAGATACACTTGTTCTCCGAGGGCGATAACTTATTGTGTACACACTTATTATAAATATCATAAATGCTAAAGCGTCAAACGCACTAAGCACAGCGTAGCTCACCACGAGCGTATTTTAATGGCCAACGAGCGCGAGCTCGACATCTGTGACTAATGAACATCCGTGTGCGCTGCGCTGCCATATATAGTGACTCCTCTTGACTAATTTTCAGCAGGTCACTCGAAGACTAAATCACTGCGATCTAGCGATCTGACAGTCCTGCCTCGTTAGAGCATCTTCACCCACGAATGAAGAGGGCCTGCGACGTGACACCGAGGATGATGTACCACGTGCTCAATGCGATGCTCATAATGCCTCACATCGCAGAGTTAATGTGCTTGCCATTCGCCGAGTTCCATCGGTGGACCACGGTGATTGGCTCTCCAAGTGCTCGACATAAAAGTGGACTCACGCGCATTTTGCTTTAGAGTGTACACAGTCCCCGAGCATCTTATTATTGTTCCGCACCCAATGAGGTTGCTGCATTAGCCGACCAAGAAGGCCGAAGAACGAATATAGAAGGAGCAGAAATACAGTAGGCCACGCCCGGCGTTTGTTTAAGCTGCCAGGGATTATATATAGGTTGAGACAATTTACCTTACAATTGCTACAGTACAGAAAATTGCAATTGCCTGCTTGTGTGGGACCGTTGTAGTCAACGTAGTCGTAGCCAAGTTCCTTGCCAGCTTCCAAGAAGGTCTTGCTGAGCAACGTGCGGATGTTCGGGTAATCCACCGGAAGCTCGCCGCTGCTGCCGTGGTAACCTGGGGAAGGGCGGGCGCAAGGCCGATCGTGCAAGAAATGTGTGCGAGTGTTCGATCTACCAGGATGCACTACCAAAGATTGAACCTCCTTCCATCAGCCGAACCAGTGAGCAGGCTCATCGATATCATGTAGTGGCAAAAGGGGCGGACACCTTATGGGCACTGAAACCGCATGGCTGTTGAAGCACGACACCGATCGTTCTTCTCACCATTTTAGCTGGCTGAAGGTGGGACAGGCAGAACCATGATCGGTGTTCCGAGTGCACCTCTAGCTATAGCGTATGCATGTGGAACCCCCAAGACTCCAAAGAATACCTGCTCCAAGCTTGGAAAGCAGTTATTCTCTAGACAGCAGGTAGGCACTGTGTGAGCTACGTCCATTCTGAAATATGTTTTGTTAATTGAGAGTAAATTTATGTCATTAGCCGAGATACCATAGGGTTGAACGAGAACATCCTTTTAGGAAAAGGACGTCACTATGTAACACATCATCCTTAGGTAGAGCTGCTCAGTTTTCAATTTTATTCTTGCGTGCTACGGTTCTCATGAAGTCCTGATTCTATCTTCTTATCGAAGGCTATTCTGAAGAAATCAATGTAAAACGCACTGGGTTGGGAGTGCAGTCTGCAGCACCCAACTGAGTACCGCTAAACGCTCTCAAGATCACATTATCCCAACACAAACGGCGAAGCGACAAAGTGCGCGCAGTTGTTTGTGAATTTAACCACATTCGATGACTGCGCGCCATCTATACTTCCGTCCTGAATCACTGGAATGCAGCGAAGCAGGCAATCAGCACACCTCCCCCACCCTATCCATGGGCCCTCTTCAGTAAATTTACCACCTATTCAAGACGAGGCTTACACAGTACGTCACAATTCCTAACCCACCGGGCCACCACCGGCGGCAGACGCGCTAAGGCTCGTAGACGCCGAAGAGCGGCATACACGTGAGCCTTGGCGTCTGCCGCGGCCTATCATTTCGCTCGCTGTCAGACTATCATAGTCAGACACTGCACGGACAATGTGTGGGTCCACCAGAGTCGGCGACAGAATGAAAACGGCCGGGCCTGCCTTTTAAAAGCGAGAGCCTCCAGCACGCGCCTTCCGCCGTGCTTTTGTCGCGGGCGCGCGCTCGAGGTACTCGAGGTGCACGGGTGCCAAAGCATTGTCGCAGATAGGAATGTCACGCTGGAGGCGGTACAAATGAATCTTCTCCCTGCTGCTCTCACCTTGTGATGGTCTTATCAGAAAGAAAGGCGAAGGCGCCTTTTTGTATTCTCGGCGGGTTCCAGCTCACCGTTGTGCACATACTGCTTGACGTGAAAGGACTCGATGCTCTTGAAGTAGGGCAGCACCTCGTCGTAGGACCAACCCTTGGCGCCGTACTCCTCGGCCCACGAGTTGTAGTCACGCTTGTTTCCGCGCACGTGCATCATGAAGTTGATGACGCTTGAACCGCCCAGCACCTTGCCTCGAGCCCACGGACTGTACTGCGTCGAAGACGTTGTATAGAAATTCCGACGTGTTTTCGCCAGCCTTCGACACGTTCGGCGGCATTCGTCGGAAAGTTATATTAGAGGTTCACCGCGCACGCAGGAAACGCAGATAGAATACGAGTGCCTTGGGGATGCACCTTTGAGGCTGCTTGATTGGCTCCACAGGATTTTATAGCGTTGGCTGAGGTCGGGCATTAATTTTGATGGTGTCGAATGCACGCTGTGGAAGCGTTTCGGTGGCGTGGCATCAGCACGACAAGCCCAGCGTCAGATCTCCACAGCTCAGCCCCTTGAAAAGCGTGCAAAGCAGACGTCATAGCGAAAGCTGGCGCCACGAAGTGTCTATGAGAAATCGTAGCCTCCTTTATAATAATATCTCGATAATATCAGCATTTACTGCAATCTACGGGAGTATCCATTACGTGTTATGAAGCTGAGTGCCCGTATGCGTGGCTTCCAGACCTTTCTACACACCCTTTCCACAAGGATGCGGCCATCTTGAATGTCATCACTTGGTATGCGGTGAAACACCGTTCTGATCTCTCCACGCCGCTTGAAGGTGTTTACGAAAAATGCGTGGTTGTCACACATTCTTGTTTTGCCTCACCTATATTTTCTCGCATATTTCAGGCTGAAAAATTCTATTATTTTTTCCTCCTGCATACCAGATATGATACCCACGTGACTGAGAACGACGGAAATCAGGAAACGTCCTTATGCGCTGATCACATTGCCAGCCCCGTGCGAAGAGCTGTGTCAGCAGCGTGCTCGACTCCCACGCCGCTGGCTGGTTTGATCCCCGCCAGCGCTTGTCCTTTTTATCTCCCTTTTGTTTGCATGACTGGAATGTTCCAGGTGACTCGATAATCTGTTGTTTGTACGAGCTCGGAAACTTCTAGATACCCGCGTGCTTTCAAAAGGAGCTTCGCATGGCTGCGTGAGTGAGTCTTCCTGCCGTCACCGTCAAAGTTCGGTCTTTGTTACTTTATGTTCCTCGGCACACGTACGTAGCATTAAACGTTCATTTTAAGTTTTATTAATCAAGTTTATGTTTTTATTTGTGACAATATGTGCTAAAAATGCAGGATAAGAATTAGTTCCACCTCCCTCACCGGCACGTACTGCCTTCCGTCGTGCTTTGGCTGCACGTGCTCACGAACCCCTGAAGTATTGTCAAAGTCAGAAGATTATCAAAGGCAGAATTTTCGCGCTAGTTGAGTTTAAACTCAATTGAATTGAATTGTGTTGTGTGTATGTTTATACGGCTGGACTGCCTGAACGAGCGACTTGTCTCTCAGCTGTAGATAAGCAAGCTGCCAGTGCAGCACAATCGCTAGCCTGGGATTCTTAACGTACACCACGCAGTAAGGATACACGACCACACGCCGGTACTATAGAGTTTCAACTGCATTCTTAAAGGCCGACAAGCAGCCATAACGGAGGAAACACTACCTCAGTTCCTTTTTTCCATTCAACAAAAAGGGAAACACTCCTCTCTGCGGGGAGTAGCTCATCAGACGCTCTGAACAGCAATCAGACACTCGCTTCTCTGGGGAGAGTAGTGGACAAGTGTGCGAGAGGGAACGGAGAGAAGGAAACTGCCAACAGGTTTTCTGCCCGGCCAGGAGACTCTTTTAACATATGTCTCGATGGCGCTCCCTTACCGTACCTATCCGTGACATCACGACCAGAATTTGTCACGCCGTGACGTCGCCTGTAGTAATCCTGGCAATTTATATCAGTCCCGAACGACAAGTTGGATGTTGTGCGTGAAAAGCACGGTAGAAGATTTTAGTCATTGTACTCTTCAACCAATACCGTTTTTGAAAGTATGACCTACTCTCACTTTAATCGAAAAAAAAAAAGTTAATTAAACTAAAGATGTCATAGTGACGGCTTGGTTCATCGTGGAATGTCGACTACGACTAGAGCAGCGCTACGTCGCCAGCAAAAAAGAAGATCGCAATCTCATGGCGGGCAGACCTTTTGCGGAAAACTTTCTCAAATGCGCAGGGTAAGTGGGTAAGCAACTGAATTCTGCTGATGACTCCCAAGACAAACAATAAGCTCAGTACGTGCGACGACGCGATAAGATGCATGTTGCTGTTGACCGAGTAGTATTCACCGATGTTTGTTCGCGAACAAGCACACTGCCGTCCGCTATTGGCGGACTCCTGTGCGCTTCCGGTTTTCCTCTTGTCTTTGTGGTCCGCATTCTTTTGTTATTTATTCTGCTTACTACAATGTGCGAATGTTCTTACAAACATACGCGTATTACAGAAACGTCTGCAACGGAAAATCTTCTTACCCGATCGCTGTGCGTTGCTGAAGAATAAATAAATACACTACCGAGGTCTAGTGGGCCACCAAATACTGTGGCGCCCTCGCGGTATCAACTCCCCCGAAAGCGGTAAATATAGTGAGACATCTAGAAAACCACCATCTATGGACGTTTTTTGTATCCTTTCGTTCTCAGTCACGTGGGTTCCGTATCTGGTACGCGGGACGAAAAAATAATAAAACATCTCAACCTGGAATACGCGAGAAAATGTAGGTGAGGCAAAACAAGAATGTGTGACAATCACGCATTTTTCCTGAACATCTTCCAGCGGCGTGGAGAGATCAAAACGATGTTTGAACGCATAGCAGAAGTGATGATATTCAAGATGGCTGCGCCCTTGTGGAAAAGGTGTATAGATTACAGGAGGGATCACGCATGCAGCTTAGCCAGGTTTTCTTCTTTTTTTTTTTCTTTGAGGGTAAAAAAAAAGGGGGGGGGGGGGGGTGTTTGGAATGGCTGGGAGCAGTGTTGCCAGATGGAGAAAAAAAAAGTCAGCAGATTGATCCCTAAAAAGTCAGTAGGTTTGCACAAAAATCAGTAGATTCTACGAAATATGTGTTTTGCCATGTTTTGCTATTTCCATTAATACACACTTCGAAGAAATAGTATAGAGTAACATAGAACATAGTAACAAATACAAATAAAAATGAAAAAAAAACAAGACCAGTTCTGGAGTAATTGCTTGTGAAGGACAAATTAAAATGGCACCATAAATGTTTCTTTTTTTATTAATCATTATCGACTATTTCGAGGATTATTCTTTGAAATCGAGACTGAGCCACTTTTGGCATCAACGGATGAGGGCGAAAGTGCGACATCCACCTGTCGCTATTATTGACACGAAACCAAAACAAGACGTTCCGGCAAGTGCGCGCGTACATGTCCAATGGAAGTCCTCTGCAAGCTGCCATCTTTCCTTACTGGGCTGTGGAAGGTTTTTGAAGCAATGCTGTCGGCGCAGAGCACTGTTGAGGCTACGCGTCGTCTGCTACGGGCTTATTTCTTTTTCGCCTGACCCAAAGTTTGCGTTCAAACGTGAAGAACTTCATTCGTTAGCTTTTTAAGCCACCGAGGAATAAGATTATATAATTTTCTTGCCACAACCTGCCAAATAAAAGTAAATAAGTGAAATTTGGATGTCGATCCCACGCATTCCGCCGGGCGAATGAATGAAAATGGCGGCCCTCTCCGCTCAACTTGGAGGAGCCGAGAGTTCAGGCGCATGCGCTCACGCCTCTCGCTCTGCGCCGCGGGCTGATTGGCTCACTCGGGAGAGGGACGTTACGGCGAGATCATAGACTGGCCAAACTCTCTCCATATATGGCTCTGGCCCGGATGTCACCGTCGAATCTGCCGAATCTGCCGAACCTGCTCTGGGTAAATAGATCGATGAATATACGGCTACGTCACTCGAATAGGACGGGCTTCTGGGCCATGTAGCCAGTGCTTCGTTTTTAATTCTGGTACAATATGAGTTTCCTTTGATGACCGACACTGGGAACTGAAGGGGACAAATAAAAAAAATTTAATATGTTTACAAAAAAAAAGTCAGTAGATTTTCTTGTTTTTCAGTGAATCAGTAGACCCGGAACGAAGTCAGTAGATCTGCTGATAAATCAGTAGACCTGGCAACACTGGCAGGGAGTTCTCAAACCTGTGGAGTGAGGGGGGGGGGGGGGGGTGTCATGAATTTGCATATAGGGTCGATAAGATTTCAAAAGGGGAAGGGAAGAGTGGGCTGAACCCCATCGATCCTGGGTAAGAAAGGGAGATTCTTTGCTCTTGTTAGCTGTATTACCTTGGTAATGCCCGTGTCCCACAAGAGCGACAGACAGAGACAAAAGACAGCGACAAGCCTCAAACCCATGCAGCATGCTCGCGATGGTACCTTTGGCAGGTGTTTAGTCGTTCGGTGCTCGTGAAGTAAGCACGAGCAATTGCAAGCCTGTCAATGCCACCCTCGCGTGCATGACGCTCGTGTTTGAGCATAGCCTACTTTATTCTACAATCCTCTGAAATCACGAAAGACTCTGGTTTGAGGCTTGTCGTTGTCTTGTTTCTGTCTGTCGCTCTAGTGGGACACGGGCATAACAAAAGTGGAATGGCCCTCGGAAAGGCGGAAAATGGGACGATTTCATCGACAGGGATTTGTGCATCTTCTCCGCGTGGTTAGTCCATTGGCATCATTATAGTCCGTTACAACTCAAGAAGGTAGGGCGAGGTTAAGACGGGCCGGGGAGGAGGAAAGCAGGCGGGACGCTAAACAGAGGAGGTTTCCCCCCCTCTTTTCCAGCGTTCCGTCTGCTTCCTCCTCCCCGGCCCCTCTTACCCTCGCCCTACCTTCTTAAGTTGCAACGTGGAAGCTCCAACGCTCATGCGCAGACGTTCTGCGCAGGTGCAATCCGATGCCCAAAGCTGCTCAGGACACCGAAAGTGTTGTGGTCCCCTATTCTAAAACATATCTATTACGAACTCAAAGACGTCCTTTGGGGTGTAGACCGCGAACGTCAGAGCGCGTAGTATGGTTTGTCTGGGTCTTGCGTCGTCAGCTCACCTTGCCTTTCATGGACTGGCAACTGGCGTTTTGGGGCTCGGTGCGGTAGTCCCAGTCGAATCGGCCGTGGAAGTGTAGCAGCGCCAGCAGCGGCACCTCCGTCGACGCGTCTTCCAGGCCCCCGGCCTCCAGGAGCAGCACCGTGGTCAGTGGGTTCGCCGACAGCCGGTTGGCCAGCAGGCAGCCCGCCGACCCGCCGCCCACTGCGAGCCGCTACGGACTTGACAGGGGTGCGACGGTACGCGCACAACGTCATCGTTGTCGCGCAGGCTCAGACGTCCCTGCTTTGCGGCGCATTCGGAGCACGTCGGTACCGCTACGGTGCATAGAACGCGTCTTCGACTTGTTTAAAGGGATTGTCCGGTCTAAACCAAAAGTACTTAAGTTTTTGCGCTCGTTAGGTCTATAGAGAGCTTTCATATAGAAAAGTGTCTATTTTATTTTGATATGTAATGTCCGGATAATAATTAAACTAGTCATGAGCGTCTGTACGAAACTGCACCCCGAATTTCACCAGTGTCAATGGCTGACATCCTGCCGTTACGCGCGACATAAGGCATGGGATCGTCGGCTATGCAGGCACTTCGTGTACGCGGGGGTCGGAATATGTTCTTCCATAAGTGTTTTGTATTGTGTTTCTTGTTATACTCTATTTTAGGTTGTTCTCAGTTCAATTCCGTTTCTTGTTATAGCAACAACACAAAGAAACACAAAAAAACGACTTTTATCGAGATATTATTCCAAGACGGCCGTGAGCTTGAAGCAGCTATCTTTGCGTTCCTCGGATTGAGATATCATTCTTTGCAAAGAGTTACCACACCTTTGCGAAGAGGATTGCTGAGGCTGTCTATGTTTCTGACAGTAACCGATCATTGCCATGAATAGTAAAGATAATCCGTCATTCCAAGCCATCAGGGATGGGCAGTATTTCAAATAATTTGTGTATTTTGCATTTGTATTTAATTACAAATTGGGTAATGTATTTGACGTGTATATTTAAATACTAAAGCGTGGGTATTTCAAATACAATTGTAATTAAATACAATTTTGTGGGCGAAAATACATCCCACAAATTACTGTTCAGAGCAGGAAGAAGACTACGTTCTGCACCGAATGCAGTGTCTCTCAATCAAGAACAAGCGTTTAGTGACTTTGTGGTATACGGTGCTAGTCCAGGGTAAGAATAGTGACGAAATCGACGTTCGCAGGCAGACTGGCTAAATAAGTGCCTGTGGCAACTTGTGATGCGTCCCTGGAACATTCTAAATGCGCGGGTCGTCCAGATTTCCGTAACTGGTGCAAGTTGCAACAATAAAAAATTCTCTAGCTAGGGCTGCGCGTCTTGGTCGTCTCGGTTTTTTGTTGGTCTATACCAAAATGTAATTGACAAAAATAACTGCTTGAAGCTCTGCACTTTTTTCCCCTATTACGTCCAAGCTGATTAAATGTTTTGTGATTATATTTCTATTACGTTATTAGGGCCTCGCACACTAACTCCCGAGTGTGCGATTCAACATTAAAATGAGATTCCCAGAAGCCCGTTGCAGGTGCCCTGAGGTTGCTGACGCAAATTTTGAGGAATGTATTTGGAAAAGTATTTGGAGGGAGACCAAATACATTTGGTTGTATTTGTATCTTGTACTTAAATGCTGTTCTGGAAATGTAATTAGATTTGTAATTAAATACATTTTTGACAAAGTATTTTACCTTTGTATTTCGATACATATTTGCATGTATTTTGCCCATCCCTGCAAGCCATTATATGTCTGCCAGTCTCAACGCTGTGGCAAGTGTTCAGGGGAAATTCTGTGACTATATGCCGGGGGACATGTGGTCTCCGGACGTGGGCGTACCCGCATATTATTATTCTTTGTTTCTGAAACAAAATTTGGGAGCCGGTAAACTCCAGGGGAACCTCATTTTTGCAAAGTACACGTTATTCACGCGGCACTTGTGTGATGTCCACCGTCGCAACAACCCACTGCACCGTTTACACGGTGATGTCGCTGATCGACTCTGGATTGAGGAGGGTGAGTTCTTGGCTTGTAGGTTTTGGGGAATGTCTACCGATTAACACTTTTACTTTTCTTAGGAACTGAAACCTTCAAAACGTTAGTATGGGAAGTGCTCTCCAGGCCTCCGGAGAGCACTTCCCTTACCGTCCTTTGGAAGATGAAAAATAGTTTTCTTTGAAACTTGTTGATTGCTTAGTCGACCCAGTTCTGAAATAAACTTTGTCTGTACAAATTTATGTGGTTGGAGGACTTCAATTTTTAATTATAAAGCTAGACAGGACGGTGATCATAAAATGTTTTAGCTCAAATGTGCACTGTTACAGCCCTGATGAGTTGTATATATAAAAAACAAAAGTGTTGAGACTTGACAAATATTGGGCTCCCTGCTGGATGGTTCCCAAGACGTCTGAAATGTGAGATAACTATAAACACCTGGTTGTTATAGGAACATCGGCGCACTTTTCAAAAAGTAGGAAATGTAAAGAAGGGGCACACAAATCAATGGAAAATATAAACGGCAGATGACCATGTCAGCCAGGCAGGGGCCATGATCCTTCGAGCGCATCGGCGGGTAAATAAACGCGCGAGATCCGCGAAAGGCGTACTTGCACACCATATAAATTAGTGTTGAGGACAAAGCTGGAGTCCACGCGAGATCAATCACATCGATTAGAATCATTACTGTGAGAGACAGAGGATTAACAAAGGTGCTCTACCTTTAACGTAGACATTTGAAGGCAATGTCTTGCGAGATCATGAGGAATTGAGCGTAGAGCAGCAGCAGTTTGACTGAGAGACACACACACACACGCACGCACGCACACGCACGCACACGCACGCACGCACGCGCACGCACACACACGCACATGCACACGCACACACACACAGGCACGCGCACACACACGCACATGCACACACACGCGCACGCACGCGCACAGACACACACACACGTACACACACACATACACAAGCACACACACACGCGCACACACACGCGCACACACACACGCGCACACACACGCGCACACACACGCGCAAACACACGCACACACACACGCACACAAAAGATGTCTATACGGCGCAACCGAAACCGAAACCATTTTGGATACGAATAGCATTACGAGTGAGCTCTATCGTGAATTTAGACGTTTAGACTATTTAAATGCCTAGCAAGATCATGAAAAACTGATGCTAGAGGAACAGTTTTATTTTCAAAATATGTCTACGCGCCGAAGCCGAAACCAATCTGGGACCTGACAGGTCGCGGCACATTCGCACGCGAACAGCTCGATTCTATTTCACACGGCAACAGGACATCGTTTGTCTGCAGTCCGGGGGTTGCTTCAACCAACCGCATTACAAAAGTCCCCTTAAAGGGCAACTCCGCTTCATTTTTGATAGTTAGAAAACTATGTAGCCCTCTTCAGTATCATATAGGAAGACCTCACGTCAAATATTACGATCTAATTCCGTTTATATATTTAATAAACTGGCCAGCAAACCTTCAAGCGAGCCAAGTCGCCGAAATCTGCCAACTCTAGCGTGCGGCGCGAAGCGCAATCATCAGCGCAGTCAATGCCACGGAGTTGGAGCGGCCAACGCTGAACCACTACGTCAGAGGTATGTGTACGTCATTCTCACGTTTTGCTTGTTTTTACTTCTCAGGACCGGGCGTCCACGTGATCACCGTAACACGGATGCGCTAGTTTGCGCTGCCCTGCGCGCTTATCGGTCTGTTTCTCCGCTCCCCTTCTCTTTCGTCTTCTCCCCTTCCCCGTCTCCCCAGGGCCATCACCGTCCACGCCACGCGAAGCGACCTGCCCGCGTCCAATAAAAAAAAAAAAAAAAAAACCTTCCCGCGTCGCGTGTCCTGTTTCTCGCTCCCTCCCGAACGTCACAAGACCACGTGGTTCGACGGGGCGTGGCCATGACTCTGACGACCCGAGACCGATGTTGCCTGACGCAATCGAAGTTTCGGTTTCGGTATCTGCTGATGTTTAAATTAGGATTACACAAATAATATTGCACATTTCGCGAATCTGAAGACGTAGAGTTGTTTAGTAGTGCTTTGTGAATGTGAATCACATGGAAGCCTAAATTTTTCGGAATTGAGCGGAGTTGCCCTTTAAATCCACGAGGATCTAGTATGACAGAGCAACAAGGTTAAACGAATAAAAAAACGAAAATTTACAGTACAGCAGTCTGGAGGCACCCCAACGCGGCTCTTTACCTGATGTTACGTCAGAGCTTCCGTGGTTGCCAATGTTGCCAACGAAAATGCTGTTTTTTGAGGACGCGTTTTGGGAAGAGTTTAAAATTCAATTTCTTGCGTGTAGGAAGATGAAAAATTCTGATATTGGGCGCAGAGGCTGTTCCTAAACACAGTTAAAACAATATTTCATTGCTTTCTTGAAAACAAAAATCTGCCGGACAATCTCTTTACGTTTTTATACAGCTCACACATCAAAAGTAGTCCCGAAGCGGCAACAAATAACGTCAGAGAGACCGACGAGTCATGTGGTCGGATGTCGCGATCCAGGCGGTTGGTCGTAGACGTCCCGTTAAAAGTGAAAGCCGTTTACAACTTCCTGTAACGCCGAATTGGAGCGCAGCTCTTGAGGAGGAGGAGTGGAGGGTATATTCCTCCTCCTCCCTCGTGATCATGCCTGCTAGTCCTCCTCCCCTCCTGCTCCCCCTCCCTCTCCTTTACCACCTCCTCGTCCTTCAAGCTCCTCCCCTCCCCTCGCCTCCGCCTCCTCGTCTCTCCTCCTCCCCTCCTCCACCTTCGTACTGCTTTCCTCCTTGCCGCTCAAGCCGGACAATGAGGGGAGGAGGAGGAGAAGGAGGGGGAGGAGGAGGAGGGGGAGGAGGAGGAGAAGGAGGGGGAGGAGGAGGAGGGGGAGGAGGAAGAGGGGGGAGGAGGAGGGGAGGAGGAGAAGGGGGAGGAGGAGGAGGGGAGGAGGAGGGGGAGAAGGAGAGGGAGGAGGAGGAGAGGGAGGGGCGCGGTTACGCCGACGCCGACGGCGACGGCGACGCCGACGCCAACGGCGACGCCGCTCAGGCTGGAAACGAACCCCTAAGAACTGCGCTCTAAAAGTACGAGGGAACGCAAGCGTCGCCCAAGTCCTGGCTGCCGAAGTTTGTGTCGACCGTCAAGCTGGACAGCGACCAGTTAATTCGACGTTAGTGCAAGCCATTGAAGGCTTTTAGCAAACCGTAGCCGCGTTCCGTGTATTGCATTACCGGAGTCTTTGAAGCATGCGTTTAAGCGCGCGCCCCGAGGTCATGGTATCACCCGGGGGCGCGCTTAAAATCTGACTTAAAGGCTGCGGTAGTATGGTACGCGGAACACGATAATGGTTTGCTAAAAGTCCCCGTACGCGTAGAGAAAGTCGTCTGCTTCTTGCGCAAGGGTTGCGGTAGCGACAAAACGACGCTCAGCCCTGCGCTTTTGTTGGAACGATAGTGGGTAGACCTCAATGCTAGATGCCTTGAGGTCTGCGGTCTATCCACTATGTTTTTCCATCAGCCAATGAGAGCTCGGCGTTCTGACACAATCGAAACCCCTGTGCAAGAAGCAGACATTGCTCCTGTCTTCGACTTCGCTCGCACTTTTGATGGAATAATAGAGCCTTGAGTACGCGCTCGTGTCGAGAGATGCAAGCCTGCGATATTTGCGTAAAGATGGGCCAGTGAATGGTCGGTATTAGAGCCACCAAAGACGCTACGCTTATCTCGAAACTTCATTCCTCAATTTCTTTTTTTCGTAGGCGCCGCCATATTGGTGCGTAGCTCAACCGATGTAGTGTTGCTCTGTCGCGGTCTGTCTCCTCTGGGGGAACGAAAACAGTTTCTTCAGATTTCAGATAAAGCTTCAGATAACTGACAACAATAATCTTAAGCACCAAGCTGACCGTAGGGTCGTTAGTCGGAAGCTTTTTTAGGTGGATCTCCCTTTGACGATCGGAACCGCCCCACGGGCTGCGCCGACCGACGTTAGGGGTGTTCCGACTGTGTCTGCATGCACTCACCGATGACGTAATCGTACTCTTCATTGAGGCTCGCAGTGTGGTAGGTGCTCATCTCCGGGCTGTCTGAGAAACTCAGGAACCACAGGAGCTGGGCCATGAGGAAAGCTGCCCATCTGGGCACCATGAACGGTATCTCGAATTGGCTGAGCATGGCTGTTGACGGCGGGCTGTGGACGTCTGATGAGAGACACAAGGTCGAAAACGACTTCAAACGAGTTTTAGGCAAAAGGTAATGGTCACTATATATATATATATGTACATCTTTACTGAAAAATAACAGCAAAAGACGAACCTTTTTTGGCTAGGTTTTTGGCATTTCGTGAAGCGTGGGTAAAAGTGTGGCCGCGAGGTTTGACACTGATTGGATGACGGTGTAACGACTCGAGGTCCACGTGGTTCCTCCGGAACGTGGCGCGCACGTCATCAGACACTCGATGAGCACCGACGGGCCGGAGCTGTTCCCAGAGAACTCGTTTAACTGCATATTTACAACAAAAGGGCCATGGTACACCGTTCTTAATCAGCAGCATCTTGGCAACGTTTCATTTCTCTCGCGCCGTATGTGCGTTCTATTTGTCTAGCGCGCCTCTCGCGCGCGTCTCGACCACCTTTCTCTCTTCATCCGAACTCGAAGCGGCCTCAGCTTCTTTTTCTTCTCTCGGAAGTGTCATCGGTTTCGCTCCCGTAGAATAGGTAGGCTTCCCCAGCTCACAGCATTCCGCCAAAGTCCTTGCCCATACAAAAATGGTCTGTGGTCGTCTATGGAAAATTCTATGGCAGCCTATCACCCCCTATGGCCTTCTATAGAAAATTCTACAAAGGGCTATCAGCCCCTATGGCCTTAATGGTCCGCCATAGAAATCCATAAATACAGCTGCAGCCAGCTACAGTCCTCTTTCTAAAGACTGGGAACCAATAACATACTTTACCCGCTTATAGAAAATTCTATGGCCACGAATCTAAAAATTGGGAATTAATAAATTGTATTTACCCGCCTATAGAAAAGTCTATGGCCCTTGGTCTAAAGAGAGGGAAGCAATAAATGTTCTCTACCCGCCGTAGTGGTTTTAGTACATGAACTCAAAGCGGCGCCAAAAGCCGGCGCCGCCATGTTGCACGCTCTGGCGTGCCCGCGCGATACCCCACGATAAGCTCGTGATAAATGAGATCGTGCTTGGATTCGGACGGGGCTGGTCGTGTCTGTTTTTTGATCCTGAGCCGGCGTTCTCGGACCCACAGAATATTACACCGCCTATAGAAATTTTATGGCCCCGAGTCTAAAGACTGGGAACCAATAAATTCTGTCTACCCGTCCATTGAAAATGTTATGGCAACGAGTCTAAAAATTCCTCCTCCATGCTCGCGGCGGCAGTGGTTGTCTGCTAAACGATCTACTAAAACTCTCAGCACGGGCTCTTGAACTTTCTGACTTGGGCAACTTGATGTTTACAAGCGGTCGCGTTATATCACCGAAAACAGTCTCATTTTAGTTGTCTGCTGTGATACCCAAGTCATGGTTCGTGGGTCATTATCACTCCCGGCACCTACTTTTTATAGGAAAAACGCTCCAGGTTAGAAAATTAAAGCAATACTCAATTTCTGTAATACCGGTGACAAACCATGACCCAAGATATGTTCTCTGCTGTTGCAACGAGTCGTGAAAAGCAGTAATATTGTTTGCTTGAAAAATCCAATGAAATACTTGTGCAAGAATTACAATTAACTATTACCCCACCAAAACTTAAAATAGATTACACTGCAATCAAGCAATATCTTGATTGCAATGTTCACCACTAGTGTACTTCATTTCAACACTTCATTGTCAACACGATTCATCAAACTTGTTAAAAAGATAATAATACATTTTAGTTAATTAGATATATGATCTACATTTTCTTTGCTCAGGGTGTTGAATTAAGAAAAGGGGGGGGGGGGCTATTCGAAAAGAGAATTCAAATAATGTATTAAGTACGAGTAATATTTGCTCCGCCTCTCCGTGTTTTTGCGACAAATGATGGGTCACCGGCTACGTCGATTAAAAAATTAGACTGCTATATATACAGCTAGTGCGAACATAGCATATGTAGAGAGGGGTGGGGGTCCGGTGTCGCTGCGTTGTTGCTGTTGTGTGGGTAGTGTTCTGCTTGTGTTCTGTGTATTCTGTGTGTTCAGAGATGTATGTACATCTACCATGTAGCATTCACAAGTCGGGGGAACTTGAAATTTTTTTTAAAAGTTTGCTGGCTAAAGAGAGCTATAGGGCAAACCATAGACAAGTCTTTAGCCAACCATTAGAAAAGCTAAACAGCGCTATGGCTGGACAGCATTAGGGTCATAGACAAAGTTAAAGAGGCCCATAAAAGCGACCATAAAAAATGCTAAAAACAGTCATAGAAAATTATTTAGCTAATTGGGCCAAATATCTAAAGCCGACCATACAAAGCATTTTCTATAGCCAACAGCAACAGGTGGTGTTGCTATAGCCGACCATAGGACATTTTTGTATGGGTGGTCTCCGAACAGCTAATCCCCTGGGCGCCGCGCTTGCGTATGTGCCGGCCTTTGGGAACCACCAGACGTCAGCTTGTCGTAGAAGACGTTGGCTCTCCTCTCTTGCGGCTGCAAGTCAGGGTCACTTGTCTCGCTGGTAGAGCGCTGAAAGCCGTGGGAATGGGCGATGGGATGCTGTCTCAGGGGTGGGCGCCGTTAATAGGAAGTCGGGACCGCCTGAGTCCTGACCGAATTCCTTGGCTGGGTTGTTACAACGGGTGGATGAGGAGGAGTGAGATGCTCGACGCTGATCGGTTAACTTGGAGGTCATGTAACCAGAGAGAGACAAGTAAGGTCGTCCTAGAGGTCTAGGACGAGCTCTAGGACGACCTCAAGGGTGACGCCGAGGACAGCGTCGTCTTTGAGCATACGATTTAGCGACGCGTGCCGCTCAATCGTATTTTTATGGCCGTACATGCCGCTTTTTCGCTCAATAACCAGAAACATGCCAAAATATTGAAAGAAAAAATATTGAGCTTAAGCTTTCAGCCGAGGTTGGGTATTTCAGTTGTCTGTGAAGTTATTTGCCTTTTGACGTTGAACTGCGTCTTTCTCTGTGGTTGGAAAGGGGTGCAAAGTTAAGAGATCGGTGTCACGAAAACTTCGTCACGGAAGTGACGCCACACAGATAACATTTAAGCGCCGAGCGATTTGCATCGCTGCGGTTTCTGACGGCGCGCCGTGCCTTCTTCCGAGAACCGCGCACTGCGCAGGCCCGTCCTTTTAATGCAATAGCATCCTACCCCCCCCCCCCCCCCCCCCAACCCTTTCCCGCGAATATCTAGAACTTTCTGGCCTCCTAATGCGCGGTATGTATGCGCAGTAGACCATTTCCGCTCGCACTCTTGCACTCCTTCACATTCGCACCCCCTTCGAAGGACCTGACGGCCTTGACGTCGTCTAGACGTCGCTCTCTAGGACATCATCCTCGACGTCATCCTTGAGGTCGTCCTAGAGGTCGTACATAAATTCGCCCTAGAGGCCGTTCTAGACGTTGTCCTCGACGTCGTCCTAGACCTAGACGTCGTCCTTGAGATCACCCTAGAGGTCGTTCTAAACGTCGTCTTTGATGACGTCGTCTAGGACGTCGTCCCCAACGTCGTCCTTGAGGTTGTCTTTGAGGTTGTCCTAGACCAATGCCATTGCATATTGCAATTCATGGAGAATCAACAATAGTCGTTTTTGCAGCAATTTCTTAACTGCTGGCTTTGCTCGTTGGCCCGCTTCAACGGTTCGCGTTCCTGACCGATTGAAACGGCGATAGACGCGGCTCCGGCAGCCGTGATTCCACAATCTTCGCTCATCGCTCTGGACAGCGGCCGAGCTCGCGTCCTCTGCAGCATGGGCAGTGCACGCAACTTTCAAGCGCGACTCGGCAAAGCGTTAACCCCCACCCCCCCCCCCCTCCCCTCCTTCATCTCTTGTTTTACACACACGTAGTTCTACTGAAATTTAGGCAGCATAGCACACCTATGCACCGACCAATTGTTTTTTCCAGTTTTTTTTTGTATTTTTTACTACTGTCGAATATTTGTTTCTTCGTATTATTTTCAAGTTTCTTTCCTGCTGGTTTTACGTCGAATATTATTTGCATAAGCATTTTAAAGACTGATATCCGAAAGAGTATAGTTTCATTAACACTATCTAACGAGTAAATATTAACGCGGCGCTTTCCTTTCCTCAGTCGAATTGTGTGGTGGGGCGATCTATTTGCTTTGTTGGCTTTTTGAACAGGTGGTGGGCGGGCTGTATCTGCTGATTCGGCGGTACGCCGTGTTTTTTTTTTTTTTTTTTTTTGAGACGAGACGAAGCGCGTGCACGGCGATAGCAAAGTTGGAAGCATTCAATAAATTTTAGTTGCCATTTAGCGCTTGTCCTCTGTGCTTCTTCGTCTTTTTGTCCCGTCTTTTTTGCGCTATTTTTAAAATGAATTAGAGGCTGACTTCGCGCCTGTGAATATTGTCACCATTTATTCGGGTCCGGAGCCCCGATTAGGTTCTTTTATATTTCTGAACCATTATAATTTCCAACTCAATGTAAATAATTGACAATAACATGAAACGTTTATATGTGAATGTTTTCGTATTAGCGTGTGTGGATTGTATATAGTTTTATACTAACACTAATAAAATATTCAAATATGACTAATTGCCACGTTTTTATTTGCCTGGATAACAAAAGTGTCTCCACCAAGTTTTACTTTAGCAATCTGGAGTTTTCGAGTGTATGAACGATTTTATTATTGTTAATTGGAAATATAAGAACGCAGGACTTCACTGCCCCAGACTTTTAAAATTTATCATCAATTGAACAAAATTCATGAAAGTAAAGTACTATACGCGACAATTATACAGCTTTAAGCTTCTTCAAACAATGGGGCTAGGAATGAACAAATACGTTGCATTCTAAACATGGCCCAAGTCGGGTCTCTCACAGAAGTAAGTAATTGTAAAGTAATTGCATTACTTTTTAAACGTAATTTTTAGTTGTAAGGAAGTACTATAGACAGGGTCCCTTTTTCGATAAGCGGCGTTTCTCTAGACTGAGGCTCCGCTTTCATTAAACCGAGCTTCGATGAAACGTGTCCCCTCCATAAAACGT